CAACCCTGCTCATCAAACTGTGCCAGTTGGAACAGCAGGACTATTTTTTTCTTCTGCAGTTAGGTGTCCTAAAAAACGATTTCAAAGACTTAGGTACTAGGTTAAAAAAAGGACCTCCACTGTAGTATTTTCTGAAATACTGCCAGTGCAAAAAGCCACTTCAGAGGGAGCTGAGAGAACTGGACAAGTGGCTGTGGAACTGGTGTCAGAAAAAGGGCTTTGGGTTCATGGAGAACTGGGCTGCATCTAAATGGGTAAGGTGCAGCACTTCTGTGGGAGAAATTGGTTAAAAGATTGGAGGAGCTTTTAAAACTAAAATATGGGGGGGAGGGGGGGAGGAATTAAAATGGGTATAATAAACAGAGAGCAAGTAACTACAGGGGCAATTAATATAAAGGGATGTAATAAAAAGGCGGACAGAGGGCTCACTCCAGTCAGCCTAATTAGTGATGTATCAACTGTACCAACCGCAGATAAAGTTGGGATTCAGGAATGAGCAATAATAAAACGCAAACCACTAGCACCAAACTAAAATGTGTGTACACAAATGCTGGCTAACAAATTAGAGGATCTTGAACTTCTGCTACTCGAAGAGAATGTCGATATAGTGGGAATAACAGAAACTTGGCTAGACAGCTCGCATGACTGAGCTACTAATGTAGAAGGGTACAACCTGTTAAGGAGGGAAAGGGTTAGTAGAAGGGCAGGAGGGGTATGCATGTGAAAAACAATATAGCTGTGCACATACGAGATGACCTCACGACAGAGAGTTGCAACGGTGTTAAGGCTTTGTGGCTAGAACTAGACAAGAGTGAAGCTAGTGGTAAACTAATTGTGGGTGTGTGTTATAAACCCCCGAACATAAGTGAGGAGAAGGAGGCTCACCTACATTCCCAAATAGCAATAGCTGGCAAGCAGGGAAATGTTGTTATAATGGGTGACTTTAATTATCCGGACACTGATTGGTCAAATGGAACTGCTTTTTCTATAAAGGCTGGCCATTTCCTAAACCTGCTGCTGGACAATTTCATGGATCAGATGGTTCATGTTCCAAGCAGGAAGAATGCTATTCTAGATTTAATAATTTCCAATAATGCAGACCTAGTTGCAGACATAATTAGGGATACAGTGGGTAATAGTGATCACAGGGTGATTTAGTTTTTTTATTAGGTACAGAAAAGAGAAGTGTGTTGGTTTGACAAGAATGCTAAATTTCAAAAAGGCAAATTTCGATAAGCTGCGTCATCTAGTGCAGCGTTTTTCAACCACTGTGCCGCGGCACACTAGTGTGCCGTGAGATCTGCATTACACTGCTGGCCTCTGTACTATGCATCATACCACTGGCCTCTGCACTCTGCATTGTTACTGATCTCTGTTCTCTGTGTCACACCACTGACCTGGCAGAGTTAAGGGCGGGGCACGGTAGGGGTCAGGTGGGGCGACTGGTGGCGAGTAACTCTTAAGGCCTGGCTAGTAGCTCAGGACTTGAAATTTTGAGCCCTGGCTGAGTCTCCTCCTCACTCTTGGGCCGGTGAGTCATCGCATGTGTGTACAAGGCAAAATCTGCTACCCTGGTGAGACCCCACAAAGCCATGGGGCTTTTGGGGTTGTGTGGTAACGCTGGGTGTGCCATGAAGGAGTTATTAAAGTGATCATTAAAGTGTGACTCATTCTAACCGCAGAGGGCAGAACCAAATGTAAAGCCCCCCCCCTAACCCGGCTTCCTAGGAAAGAGAAGGGGGTGAAGGTGTTTCCCCCCGGAGTGTGGTGAGACCCCCTATGAGCCCTGGTGAGACCCCACAAAGCCATGGTGAGACCCCATGGAGCCCTGGTGAGACCCTACGGAGCCCTGGTGCTGGTGAGACCCTACAGAGTCCGGGTTTAACCAGGGCAGTGTGGGATCTCACCAGGGCTCTGAGGGGTCTAACCAGGCTGGTGAGACCCCCACATAGCTCTGGTGAGACCCTACAGAGCCCTGGTTAAAGCAGGGCTTGGTAGGGTCTCACCAGGGCTCTGTGGGGTTTAACCAAGACTAGTGAGACCCCACTGAACCCTACTTTAACCAGGGCTACGTCAGTGCAACAGTTTGAATTTAAAACGTATTTGTGTGAAGTGTGAAGTTAAGTCATGGATTGAACAGAAATATGAACAATTATAAAATACTTTATTATTTCATAATAAAGTAATTATAAAATAATTTATTTGTGTTTATTTGATTCCTATTCAAGAGAATTACTTTATATATAGTCAATATAGGCACAGAGGTAAAAAATTTTAACATTTTCTAATGGTGGTGTGCCTCGTGATTTTTTTCATGAAAAAAGTGTGCCTTTGCACAAAAAAGGTTGAAAAACACTGATCTAGTGTATGACACTAAATGGGACAACATATTTCTAACAATGAACACTGACAAGAAGCGGGATTGTTTTAAGAATATATTGCATAATGCTATTACAACAAAAATAAAAGATAGAGAGGTAAGACTTCATGGCTAAATAAAACGGTAAGACAACACATCAAAAGAAGCTGGCATTTAAAAAATATAAGATGGCAGGTACTGCATTGGCATTCCATTCCAAATTCTTTTATTTTATATTCACAAATAACATATATACAAATCATACATACATACATACAAACATAAATTCCCCTATATTGCTAACATTCTGGTCTTCCCCTCCACACTAAATCCATCTTGCTTCATATATCATCTCCCAGGCCATTATACATCATCCAAGGAGACCAAATTAGCTCAAATTTTTGTTCATTGTTCTGAAGCATGCTATTCATCTTTTCATGTATCATTATCCATGACATTTTTGACTTAAATTGTTTAAAGGAGATGCTTAGTGACCTCCAGGCTTTGGCTATAGTAATTTTGGCCGCTAAGCAAAAGAAAAAAAATAATCTATCCTGAGCCCTGGACAGTCCTGGAATTGGGCAATTCAGCAATATGTATTGGGCTTCCCTTGGGACGCGAACTCCCATTATTTTATATATCAAAGCGAAAATTCTGTTCCAAAATGATCTAATCTTTGGACATTGCCACCATATATGATACATAGTTCCCGGGAGAATACAGCCCCTAAAACATGCAGGAGACACCTCCGGGTAAATCTTAGCCAGCCTGGACGGGACCAAATACCACCTAGCCATAACTTTATAATTTGCTTCTAATAAAGATATATTAATTAATCCTGTGATTCCCCGAGTGCAGCAATTTCGCCAGGTCTCCATTGAAATAACTTGTGTTAGATCTTGTTCCCATGCTATCATATAGGGCAATTTTTCTTCCGATTCCATTAATAAAGCGTAAATCAATGAAATACCTCCAGTCTGTCCTTCTCCTAAACACCACTTCTCATATGTCGTGACAAACTGTTTATCCGACTCATGCAGCTTCAATTATGCCAAAAAATGGTTAAGTTGCCTGAATCGGAACAGTTCAGATTGCGGCATATGTAAGGTCTCCTGACAGTACCTCAAGGTCAATGGTCTGCATCCCCTAAAACCTTGTGCTATCCTGTATAAGCCCTTATCCTGCCACCATCGGAACAGGCCACAGTGCCTCCCTGGGCAAAACCTGGTATTGCCAAAGATTGGTGCTAAAGGATTATGTGAGGATACAAAATCTCTATTCTCCCTCACTGAGTCCCAAATGAGCATAGATTGAGAGAGTGTGGGAGCTAAGACCGCTGGTCTCTGTCTCGGCAGCATCCATTTTAGTTGGTCAATAGGTACCCCTGAAGCTGAACAGGGTTCCATCAGGACCCAGTCTGGGAGATATTTCTGATTATAAACTCCAGAGATCTCTGCAATAAGAGCAGCCTTATACTTTGTCCAAAAATACAAGGAATGCAGTAAGATATGTAAACATGAAATCTGGGCAGCTAAAACAGATTACGAAAAACATATCGCACAGTCTGTAAGAAGAACCCCCAAAAATTCTTCCAATACATAAACAGTGAAAGGTAAAAAAAAAAACAGGTAGGCCCAATAAAATATGAGAATCGAAGATTAATCGCAAACGACAGGGAGAAGGCTGAGGTATTAAATTCATTTTTCTCCTCAATATCTTTTTCTTGTATATCCTCAATATACAAGAAAAAGATGTGTTTAATGGAGATAAGCATGTGAGTAGCTTAATGCATAAGATAAGTGGTTGACTGAGGTTTGAATAACAACATGTAATGCCAGGCTGCGGGAAACAAAGCTAGTACTGTCTTGCATTAAAAAGGGAATGTACTGTAGAGACCAAGCAACAATTTTGCCACTTCATAGATCACTGGTTCGGCCACATCTTGAGTATGTGGTTCAGTTTTGGTCTCCAATCCACAGAAAGGATGTCCTTGAGCTAGAGAGAGTCCAGAGAAGGGCAACAAAACTAATTAAGGGGCTGAAGGATCAAAGCTATGAGACAAGTTGCTAATTTCAAATTTGTTGTTCACGCTGGAAGTGAGGAGATTAAGAGGGGGCATGATTTTGTTGTACAAAATGTTTAGTGGAGATGGCAACATCAGCAATACACTTTTTACTGTAAACTCCCCAACAAGGACTAGAGGCCCCCACCTGAAATTGGTGGAGAAAAGATTTAACCACAAAGGGTGTAGGGGCTTCTTTTCAGAGTGGTAACATTTTGGAACTCTCTGCCACAAGCAGTGGTAGCAGAGAACATTGATTCATTCAAAAATCAATTAGATACTGTCCTCAGAGACCCAAACATACAGGCACTCTTAAAAACGAAGACCACACAGGGACTCATATACACACATGCACGCAGAACACACAGACAGACACACAAAGGTCGTCTTTTTTTTTTTCCAACCTCAAATACTATGTAATGCTGTTTTATGGTGAACTACTATGTTGCACAGTAATTATTTATCAATTTAACTCTGGATGTGTTATTGGCAAAGTAAATTGTATTTATTTTAATTTGTATGGGCTTTTTTTGTGGGGAATTGCACATAGTTAAATGTATGTATTTTTTTTCTTTGCAGGTCGTATATACAAGTGTTTGTTTACTGGCTCTGTGAGCTCACTACTGACTCTACCGTTAGACATGCTGTCCACGTAAGTTTTATAAAACAAAAAATTAATATATGTGTTACTGAAAAGAACACAACAAGCTGGCACGCTTCTACGATATGCTACAATCAAAGTCTCTTGAACCAAAGTGTTAGTTTATAGATATGCAAGTATGGCAGCCTATAAATTGCTGGTGTGGAGAACCAACTGAAAGCATAAGAACACAAAAAATGGGCACACCACTATTGCATTATCTGAGCTGTCATTAGAAACAAATTATAAATGGTCACACTCACATAATCACCAAGAGCAGTGGCACATTTCGAATTCTCACCCTGTCTGTGTGACAGTATCTTAGAAAATATTCTAAGGCAGGATCCAATTAGGGTGGTAAAAGAAGCAAACAGCACAGCTTAGGGATAGTAATAACACAAAAGAGAGCAGGATTGCCTGATCGTATGATAAGATAAAATTTTGTTACTAAGGCTACATTCACACGAGGTGCGATTAGATGCATTTATATGTGGAAGCTTTTCTAAACGCATATATATGCATCGTATGATTTCCAATGTATCTATTCACATGTCCCATTTAGATGCTTTTACTGCAGTCAGTTTATCTGCATTTAGAAAACATAAGTCCGATGCATCTAGGAATCAATTTAAACTTCTAAACGCACCAAAACGCATGTAAACATTTTTAAACATGATTTGATGGCAGGATTTGGTACCAGGTGCATCTTGGCGCATATGCATGTAAACATGCATCATTTAATGCATCTAGAAGTATAAACACAGCATCTAGCCTGACAGATTTTTTTTCTTCATATAGAACACAAAAATGCAAGTGGCAAGTGTGAATGTAGCCTAAAAGAAAGAAATTATGCACAAAAGCTCACTGCAAAGGAGCATTTCAATGAGAAGCTATGTAGTGTCTTCGTACAACCTGTCTTGGGCAGCAATCAGATGAAGGCGTGCACAAACTGGTGGAGAAACACAGTATGCAGAGCTTCAGCAGTAGTAGCACTGTCATAGCTGTGCGGCTCAGCAGCTGTGAAGCAGTGGCTTCAGCAAGCGTCTCCTTACGGGTGGCATTCCCTAGGCAAAGCGTTTTGGGCTGTGCCCTTTGTCAAACCTTACAGGAGAAAGCTGAAGTCCACATATATACATATATAAACTCACTGGCCTCTTTATTAGGTACACCTTGCTAGTACCGGGTTGGAAAACTGCCTTTATTCTTTGTGACATAGATCGACAAGGTGCTGGAAACAAAAGCATTATGTTCAAGAAACCAGTTTGAGATTTTAGCATTGTGACATGGCAAGTTATCCTGCTGGATGTAGCCATCAGATGATGGGGTACACTGTGGTCATAAAAGGATTGACATGTTGTTAAGCAATAATATTTGATAGGCTGTGGCATTTAAATGCTTAATATGTACATAGGGGTCCAACGTGTGCCAAGAAAATATCCCCCACACCATTACGCCACCACCACTAGCAACCATATGTACACGCACACGTAGGTTTATATTATTATTATTAGGTGGCCAAGCAACGAAGTTGCAAGGACACCTATTGTTAAGATTATTATGTGGCCAAGCAACAAAGTTGACACCTATTGTTATTCGGATTATTATTCTTTTTTTTGTAATTCTTATTATTCTGACACTTTTTTCAAATGCCTGTAAAAAGTTCACTGATGGTAAAAAAACTCATGAAACTTCGCACAATGGTAAAGCCCTTGCTCTTCAGAGCTTATTGCAATATAAAGGCCATAGGTCACATGATGTGGCAGCCATCTTGTTTTTTGCAACAATTTTTGCAAATATTCAGAAATCTGCTTGTGCAGAACCGCTAAAGCTACAGATGTATAAATTGCGGTTATGCCTTGCTCTGTTATCTCATGTGTTCATTATAGCTCTATTGGTCACATGGTTTGGCAGCCATTTTGGATTATGCAGTATTCTGCAAACAACTTAAACTCTGAAACCATATATCAGAATTATTCAAAGCTTTGCACATATGTCCAGGGCAACCTCTTCTACCACGGTTGAAAATGGGCCCGATCCCAAAATCAGTATGGCCGCTGCAAGCCAATGGTATTTAGATAGTGTTGTTATTATTATTATGGCCTTTTGTTCAAAAGCTTGTAATAAGTGCACTGTTACTCAGAAACACATGCAACTAGGCCCAATGGAAGAGCTCTGTGCTATGACTAATCTTTTGTATCATAAAGGTCATGGGTCACATTCCCTGGCAGCCATCTTGTTTCAGGTGACGCTATTCAGCTCCATATTCAAACATCTGTTTTTCAGAAACTATTCAAGCTACAGATGTACAAATTGCTGTGTACAGTTAGGCTGTGATCTGAACTCAGAACTGAAGTGGTGTATCAGGAAGCGCCAGAGGTAGATCATACACAGTCTCTCATAGAGAGTTTAATGTTTTGGCATCTATGCAGGAAGCAGCCCCAAGGCAGTCAGGGGGACTGGGATCACTAAAAGACAAAGACAAAAATTGTTGAATAAAACTGATCTGCACTAGGAAAAGGCACCCCCTCTTTGTCTTTTAGTAAACTCAGAACTGATTAATACAAGTCAATTGACCACATGGTTCGGTGGCCATATTGAATTGTCAAATTCTACGAATATTTCTATTTTGATACTCTTTTTTTTCAAATGCTAATTATTACCACACCATTATGTAAAAACGTATGAAATTTTACATAAAGGTCATAGCTCGCATGCTCTGGCAGCCATCTTGGTTTAAGCAAACCTATTTCTGACAATTTTCAAACATCGTTTTATTATAACTGCTAAAGCTACAGATATACAAATTGCAATGTTAGGATATGCTAAGCTCAGCAGTCAAATATGTTCGTTACAAGTCATTTGACCACATGGTTTGGCAGCCATATTGGATTGCGCAATATTCTGCCAACAACTTAAACTCTGAAACCATTTATCAGATTAATTCAAAACATTGCAAGGCAACCTCTGCTACCATGGTTGAAACACCTGGCCTGCTCCCAAAATCAATATGGCCGCCACAAGCCAGTCACGTTTAACATTGCATCAAACTGCATAAACGTGCATTTCTATCAGTATTAAAGGAGAATTATGACCTAAGGGCAAATAAAAGTACTTCTTGCCTTTTACTCTAATAGCATTCTTCTTTTCCAAAGTCGCAGCACATCCCAGAAAAATTAATCACAAGTCACAGAAAACAGTCACCTGCAGCCATGCTCCAAGCTCCTTTCCTCTTGGGGAGCGTTAACAGGGAATGCAGCCCCGCCCTCAGCTTTTTTTTTCCTAACTCAAATCTGCCGTGGCCGCGCTTTCTCTAGTCAAGCACACTGTGTACGGCTGGAGTGTGCACGCTGACATGTGGGAGCAGGGCGCAGAGTCAACTGAGAAGCAGCAAGCGGTCTCAGCCTCCCTTCTCTTTCCAGGGGGCGGGGCTATGTAAATACTAATCAGCTGTAAGGGGTGGGGTTATGGTAATACCTGAACGGTCAGGGGAACTATCAGGGGGAACTAAGATTTACGGGGAACAGGTTGTCATACAAATGCTGCCCATTTTCAAGATGGAGAGAGAGGAAGAAGGGGCGGAGGCACTGAGGAGAAACGACCTTCCATGCACGCGCTGTCATTTGCTGGCACAGACTGTAGAATGTGCTCTGATTTGGGGGTGCCTTAACCAGTTGACATCCGCGGTGTTAAACCCCCTTCCCATCCAGGCCATTTTTCAGTATTCAGCAATGATCACCTGAATCTTAAATAAGTGTTGGGTTTATTTACAAATAGGGATATACATACATTCTAATTACAATTAAGGGAATCGGAAAGGGTATTTGGAGGGGTAGGAATTGAGGTTAGGATCCTTCAGCTGGCTACACCATTCTCTCACTCATTCACACATGCCATGGGTTTTTCTCTGTTCTCAGAACACGCCTCCCCAGCAGGTCTCAGCGAATCACATTCTTGATTGCAGAGTTCAGAAAGACTTGTCTTGTCCAAAGGTCTTGCTGGTGAGCTAGGTTAGTATCACACAGGAAGAAGGTTCCATCATATGCCCCTGCCGCCATCCCAGCATATATGCCTTGCTGGCACAGGTGTGGGCAGTAAATACCAGCAGGGGGTCGGGCTTGCCCCAGGACATGACCGTCCTGGCAGATCTTCATTCATCAGTGTCGAGCCCCAAGAACCCTTTGATGGCCCTCATTTGCATATCAGCCACCTGCTGATTCCATTCAAAATATCAAGGAACCTTTGCGTCAAAGCTGTATTATAGATGTCAATGTTATCGGTTCCAACACAGACGACGGGGATGTGGAGGTAGGAAGAGAGCTTCTGCGCATGCCCATGTATTCGTGGACGCGCAGCTGTTCTCAAGAAATGCCGTCAGTCACAGTGAGAAAGATCAGTTGGGAGGTTCCCGACAGTATTGTCGAGATCTCTCCCCACTGCAGTGCTTAGCCCCGCCCACCATCTTAAAGTAACGATTGTATGTTTAGGGTGCATTTTGGATTATAGGAGTAAATTGTAACATTTACTCCTATAGCCCATTTAATCCAAAAGTAAAGAAAAGCTTGGACCCAATAGTTCTCCTTTAAAGTCTGTTAAACATGTTATACATATGATAATTCAACCTCATAACTGCCAAATACTATAAGGGTTCCAAAGGTCACCAAGGTCGGTGGCCATTTTGAATTACAATTTTTTGTTGTAATTCACGAAATCATGTCCTGCATTTTATCTCTCCATCTACAATATCTTCTCATGTGCTATAACCGGCTCTACTGCTTGGCCACCTTTTATTGCTGCTTGCACCTATATTTAGGTGACCAAGCAACGAAGTTGCAAGGACATCTATTGTTATTGTGCTGATTATTATTAGGTGGCCAAGCAACGGAGTTGCAAGGACACCTATTGTTATTAAGATTATTATTTTTATTAACCACCTTCCGTCCATGGCCGTTTGTGAACGGCCGGACGGGAGTCTGCTAGGAGCGGGAGGGCGTCTTAAGACGTCCTGCCCCTTC